TCAGTTCCCTTTAGCAATTGCTATAAAATAGAGAAAAGAATTTCTTACAGTCAAAGAATCCCTTTGAAAGAAAATTTACCAGAGATATAAAAAGCTTTATTGCCATCACCTAGGACGCTCAGGTAAGTGCAGTATCTGCGTTCTTTAAACAATAACAGTGCTCGACAAGATTGTTTCCCAACGTGAGGGCAAAGGCGTGGTCAGGGCTCCTGGCCCTGGGTCTGGGCGTATAAGCATCCACAGAAAGCGGAAACCTGGCCAGTATTGACCCCACACCAGCCTGCTGACACCTGGCCAAAGCCGACAGGGGACATAACATGCAGCCTGTCACATAAGCAGCAGCTTGAGGCCTTAATCCCCACATGTGCTCTCACGTTGGCCAGGGACCAACTACAGGCAGCTCAGGCTTCCCTGGCTGACGTCCAGCCAGCAAGGTTCAGAGACTTCGTTTCCTAATATGGGACAGAGACAGTGTGAAGCCTTTTCATTTTAAAAGATCCCCTCCCCCACCAATCTCCCACAGATGGCCTCCGTGCTAATCCTCTGTCTGCTTAGCTGAAAACTTTTCCACTCAGCAGTCAATCTTCAGTGTCCTGGTATTCTTTACTTTTTAACACAGCCAGTCCCTTGGCCCAGATTGCAGTCCTGCTGGAGCCCTGCATCTGTCTATGAATGCTGTTTTCTGAATCAGAATGTAGGGATCTTTGGGCTTCCAAAGCACGTGGACAACTTGTAGGTACAGCCTGAACTGCGTAGGTGCCAAGGATACAATTACAGAGTCCTAACTCACAAACTCAGAGATCATTTCAATAGCAAAGAAGCCACTACTCTCTGTCCCTTGTTCCTACTTTGCCTCTCCTGTCTTCTAGCTTGTCCTCCCACCTGCTTACAGATGTGCACAATTGTCTAAATACTCTTGCCCCTTAAACCAGAATATGTATATCTTATAATTCATAATCTAGAAACCTTCTTTCAAATACTACATCTTTTTTCCGGCTTATAAAACAATAATAAAAATTTTATACGATTTTTAATAATTCTGTAGGGTGCGTACTTAAATGTACATTGAGAGTTAAAAGAAAAGTAGATGATGATGATGATAATTAAACACAATCGGATGCAAATCTGAGCTGGTCTTTACTCATAATTAATTTCTTAACTTTTACACTGCTTTGGTTAAATTTCTAACACTGCTTCTGAAATCATAATATATTTGAGCAATCAGAACCATGGGAGCCTATATGTCAAGCTGAATGGTGCCTGAGGCGCTCTAATCAATCCTCACGCCCAGACACCATCCAGAGTGGAGCCTGGGTGTCTTGAATACGATTTTCAGTGGTGGGGACCTTCTTGCTCCTGGACCACTGCTAATTGCTAGAAAGTTGTTCTCTTCTAACAAAAACTGCCTCTCGAGCAACTTCTACCCAGTGGCCTGATTTATTCCTTCCCTCTGGCTCACACAGATTAAAACTTTTTCCTTCCTCGGGTGACAGGCGCATCAAAGATGTACCAGAAGTGTCTGGTGCATCCTTCCCTCCTGGGCCCTTTGCCCTGCTTACGTGCCGCCCCTCATTCTGAGCTTTCTTCTCCAGACTGCTGAGTCTACAGACACATTACCACGTGGGCCTGTGGGGGACGGGCAGGGCTTCAGCTGGGAGCCAAACAGATATGGCTCAACCCCTGGGTTCTTTCTGCAGTTTCACACAGGCCTGGGTAGCAGCTGCTAAACACAGACAAATTCTTCTGTGGTGTGTTGTTGCCAAAAAGGAACCCTAAAAGGCAGCAATTCTTTGTCTGATAGAACATTTGGGTTTCACACAGTTGAATTTCACTCCCCCAGAGGTCTTTTCCCTCTCAGCAAATGACACTTCATGCTTCCAGTTGCTCAGGCCAGAGTTATTCTTAACCCATTTCTGTCTCTCTCACTCACATGGGTTTCCTCAGAAAATCATATTGCTTCTTCTTCCAAAACCTATTCAGATTCCAACCCCAGCTCCCATCTCTACCATCTGTTCCAAATCTTCACCATCTCTCACCTGGCTTATTGAGGCGCCTCCTACCTGCTCTTCCTGCTTCCACCCTCTCCCACTACAGACTCTTACAACATGAGAGCCAGAGGAGTTCTAACACATAGATCAGACAACTCCGCTAAGGAAAACAGACTCGTAATCTGTGTCCTTTTCAGAGTGGAAGCCGGCATCCCCACCATGACTAGTGAGGCCATCCCTGACCTCATCTCCTCTCCCTCCTCCTGTGATTCCCGCTCCCTGAAGCCCCATTCTCCCTTTTAGTGTTACTCAAACACATCAGTGCCAACCCCTAGAGCAGCGTGGTGTACTCCTACACTAACTTCAGGTGTTTGACCAGAGCTCACCTTCTCAGCAGAACTTGTCTTGACCACCCTATTTACACAGCAAACCAGCAACTAGCCTGATCCTACCCTACCCTGCTCTGCCCAGCACTCTCATCTACCCTTTTCCCTACCTGAGTTCTCTTTGTATCATCATTGTGTGACAACTTGCATTGTCTGTCTTTCCCAGTGAGGCCATAGCTCCACAAGGCGAGGTTTAATTTGCCTGATTCTACTTCGTCCCCAGTGTCTAGAACAGTGCCTGCATATAGAAAGTGCTCGATAACTATTTTTATTGAATGGTTGGTTGTTCTGTTGGTCCCATACCTCATGCTTTCCCTGTGTCCCTTTCAGGGAGAATACCAGGTTTTGCTGAAACTGTATAACGAAAACTATTCCACGGTGGCCTGTGCCAATGCTACTGTCATTTGTTCCTGAGCAACTCAAAAGCACAGCAATCTGTCTCATGAAAACTCCAAGCTCCTCAAACTGCACCTACTGTATAAGAAGAACCAGTCGACCACAGAGAGAACCTCGACAAGAAGGCTCACCAAAGGAGCAGCCACTGACTTTAGCCCTAGCCCCAGACTCCACAGATGTAATGAAGCACCAGAAATTACCTACTTCTAAGCAGTCTCCTTACAGCCACCAAGCAGGCTCGAGGGTCCATCCTTCTTCTCTAAGTGGTCATCTCATACCAGATGTTCCTGAGGAGCACTTCCTCAGTTACTCAGAATAAAGAAAGCTGTCCTACGATTGTTTCTCAAAGAATCTGAGTTCTGCAGTTATAATGTCATTTCCTCCCGACACAGTTTCCCGGGCTGATACAGCATAAATAGTTCTAAGATGTTCAGGAGATGGCAGCCCTGCCAGAATTAGCACTAGGGAAAGGTGCCTCTCCTTATGCTGGGCAAGCCCTGCATCCTTGGACTGTGAGAGACGAGAAGCTGGTGAAACCTTATAAAGAGTGACATCGAAATCTTACTTAACCAAACCTCATTACAGCTTCATCTCCAAAAGCATGGTTATTCTTGGCCTCAGCACATAATGGCTCTCATTAATGCATTTATTAATTCACTCAATGAACAACTGCTGAACACTGTGTACCAGGCCCTGTGCTCAACAAAACAGACACTGTCCCTGCCTCCATGGAGCTTGCGGTCCCTTGAAATTCTAGGAAGCCACATGTCAACCAGTGGATATGATCATTCATGTACAGAAACACTTCAGAGCCATCCATAATGAGCAGGTTGCCTGACTGCTGTCAGAGAGCCATTTTGGCAGCCCCATCCTCTCCTGTCCCTGGATGTGCAGAATCGTATGGTGGGCCCTTCACCATCCTGTTCCCATCTCCCCACTTTTCTCCTTCCTGTGTCCCTAGGCCCAACATCTGGCCCTGTCACTTTTACTAAGCGGCTGAAGTCAGATGACTGGGTTGACTTTATTATTTGCAGGTATTTTATATCCATAAAAGTGCCACTCTGTTAGACATTAAAAGAGGAAAAAAATCCATAGTTTAAAGGTATTTATTGCTATTAATTAGTTTCTGTACATAACTAAACTATCTAGAATAACAAGCTGTATATACCCAGTGAATCAAAATTTTAAAGCCAACATCTAAGATTTTCTGGGTTATAGAGAGACAAAGTTACACCAGAGTCCTTGTCTCTGTCCCTAAATGCCTGGGAGAAAAGACCAGTGTGTGCCAGGTTCAAGAGCAAACCTCTGACCACCCACAGAGTGATACTGTTATGTACACAAAGAGCAAACTGAGTTTCTGATCCTTTGCGATTCCTTCTAAGGAGACATTTCACTGCTTCCTCTTCAGTAAACATCCTTATTCTAGGAAAAGTCCTGGGTAGATTCTGAGCACACACATGTTCCAACAGCTCAGGACAGCATCATAGTCTCCCAAAGACAGAGCAAGGAATAGGAAACAAGCTCACTTTTTATATTTCCATAACCCAGCTGTCCCCTTTCCTATTCTTCACCCTCTTCTTAAAATTTGTCAATATGTGTATGTGTGTATGAATGAGAGAGAGTTTAAGATGCTACAGTTTGGGTTAAACAGGGATTTTCATACACAGGGCTGACCCTAGCCATGACTGAGGACACAGCAGTTGCACTAAGGGAGTGATCTAAGCGAAAAAGAAAGTGTTTTTCTGCCCCAAAATATGTCAGTCCTTAGTCTCCTGTCGGGGGCCTTAAACTTTACTGTGAGTTTCACTCCAGCAAGTTGAGAAAATTTTTCATTGTTTGCAAGTCTCCTATTAAAATACAAACCATTCAGGTAAAAGAAATGGCCAAAATCATTATCACTCTTTAACACTGGGGCAGAACATAGTGACCAAGATGAGGTTTGGAATTATCACCCAGGAAGCAGGAGGCATCAAGAGGACATGGGCCACTCCAAGAAAACTCTCTTGGGCAAATATCTATGTGTGCATCTGGGGTTGGGCGGTGAGCGTGCGCAGACAGAGAACTTAATTTACTCTCAGTTTCTCATAAACAGAGTTTATTACTGTTTCAAAATCACCTCAATAAACTTCCCCGAAAAACACATCAGTTTGGTTCAAGATTATGCCATGCCCCCTGAACCAAAGAATTCATGGAAATCAGCCAGCTCCAGCCATTTTGATGCCAGAGGCCCTTCCTGTCCACACTGTCCTTGGCACTTTACCTCTGTTTCTCTGTCGTTCTTTCACTTCTGGCCTCCCTGAATATTGACTTCACCTTCAGGCAGTGTTTCTTATAATAGCAAGTGGTTTCACACTCATACAAAGTACAAAAAAATGAGAGACACTTTTATCTCAAAACCCTGCCATTCATTCTGAGTGCAAGGTCTTAGGTCGCATGGCCACTTCTGACCAATCACTTTGGCCCTGCACTGACTGACTTAGCCTAAGTCATATGGCCCACCCCCAGAGCTGGATTGGAGTTGGTCCCACTGGAACCATACCATTCTCTAAGTGGAAATGGGGGGAGTATGAAAGGGGCAAAGGGAGAAAAAGGAGAGAGATACTTGGAGTCTGCAATACATCTAGAATTAGACAGAGCAGATTTCAGTTCTAACTCTCCTAGTTCTTACTCTAGCTAAAAGACGGAAAAGTAAAAATTGTTTTCTGTCCCCTAGCTGTTAACTGGGCAAGTGAGTTAAATTCTCTGAGCCTCAGTTTCCTCACGTGTAAGTGTCGACGATAATAATATCTACCTTATAGAAATACTTTGAGAATTAAATAAGAGAATGCATATAAAGTGCCCAGAATAGGACCTGGCACATAACTCAAAAAAAGTGAGTTATTATTATGTTAAGGTGGTGCCTAGTCTCTTTGGGCTGCTGTAACGAAAGTATTATAAACTGGATGGCTTATAGACAACAAAAATTTATTTCTCGCAGGCTGAGAAGTCCAAGACCAAGGCTCTGGCAGACTTGATGTCTAGTAAGGGCCTGCTCTGTGGTTCATAGATAGCTGTTTTCTCATTGTGTCCTCACATGGCAAAAAGGGTGAGGGAGCTCTCTGCAGACTTTTTTATAAGGACACTAATCACCTAATCACCTTGTAAAGGCCCACTTCCTAATACTATCACATCGGGAGTTAGGATTTCAACAAACGTATTTGAGGGAACATGAACATTCAGTCCATAGACGTGGGTATTCACCCACGGAGCTAAAGCCCTACTTCCTAATTTACCTCTCCTATCCCTCCTATATCACTGGGGCAAACAGCCTTTGAGTCTCACCCTCATCCATAGCCCTCATTCCTTTTTTAAGTCCAGAAATGGTTCCTTGGCACCTTGATTTCTTCTAAGAGTGGCTAGTTTTATTAGATCTGGAATGGGGGCATGTTCACTGAGCTACATGCTCTGACCATGAACTCTGAAAAGAATTTAAGGAAAACATTTATGTACAAGTTTTGCCCCAAAACAGAAACATTATAAATAGGCCAAAAGGACCTAGGAAAGAAAATATGTGTAATTTTTAATTGACGTTGTTTTCTATAAAAAAAAAAAAATACACATGCAAGACGTGAAGAATTAAGTGTAACATCTGCAAATTTAACAATTATGTCTGCCTTCAGAAAAAATAACCCAAAATAGCTAGAGAGAGAACGGAAAGGGCCACATCCTGATTTTAACGGGACTTGTTAGAGAGAGAGAGCTTATCATCTCAGCAGTTCGGTTTCAGATTTGAATCGGCTACATTTTTCTCAGTCAGCAAAACAAGTTCCTCTGTCTAATTTCCTGATCATTTTATCTGGCAAGCAGGATTTGGGAAAGAGCTATTTTGCATCTAGTTTGTAAATAATGTTAGGTGAATTTTTTTGGAACTGAAGCCTTTAGTTCCTTCAAATGTACCAGCCTCAAATTTTTTTCTCTCCTCGAACCCAGCTTCCCTTTAAAATGTGTGACAAAATAAAATTTTTCCCTTCAGTATCTTGGTCTCCTCATTCCTGAGGAAAATAATGTATGCACCGATGTTATTTTGACTGAGAACAATTTCTTCTCCTAGCTGATATTTTTATGGATTTCCTAAAACCCAGCTAACGATGGAAGAGAGAAAACATCCATGCCACATATGCATGCATTCTTTTATTGTGGCTATTCCTCCCTTTCTTCTACTCAGAAATGGTAGAAGAGAGTTTGGGAAGGGGCCAGAGAATATTATGAAAATGATCAAAGGGATGCAACAAGATTTCCTCATAAAGATAGACTAAAAAGATGAAAATGTGTGAAAGTAGACAGACAACAACTGAGAAAGCAGAGCAACAACAGTAATAACAACAGCATTTTAAAGGCTAACAATTATTTGAGCATTTTCTACGTGCTGAGCATTGTGGGAGGCATTATACCTGCACATCCATACTTAATCTCAGTAACAGCCCATGGGTAGGTAATACAATGACCCCCAGTACAGCAGAGGAAGTTGAGGTCACCAGAGTGGGGTAACTGGCCCCTGCTTATACAGGCTCCTGAACTCAGCAAGCTGGGATTTAAATCTGTCTGACTCCATCCCAGGCTCTTTCTAGCTGACGCTGCCCTGGCTGTTTGGTTCGAGACTATAGAATAAGGAACACTTTATAGTTTTAGTTATAGGCTTGCAAGATTTGTTAAATCAAGCAGCAAACAGGCTAAAAACAAAGGTAGGCTATAAAGGGTTAGATTAATTCACTGATAAGAACACAGCAGTGGGCATAGCAGGAGTTTTGAACAAGGGATTAGAAGCTCTAGGATTTTCCCCAGCCCTGCCACTAACTAGCATGGGAACTTGAGTGAGTTACATGATCCATTTTGTCTCAGATTTCTAAACCTTCCTAAGAGTTTATAATCTCATAACTAGAGTTGGTCTATAAAATTCTATAAAGTGCATAATATATTGTTATGCCTTTTCAAAGAGAAATTATCCATTACGTGATTAAGTAAATTGTTCATAAACTAAAGCACAAATGCAAAAATTGTACTTATGCAAATATAAAGTTCTGTATCATCAACGAAAATAAATATTTTGGAATAATTAAAAAAAAAGAGCAGAACAGTGGGGGGAAAATGACCATGGATGTTTAAGGAGTGTACTGATTTGAGTTCTGTGGTTTGCAGGAACTTCACCACGCTCTTTAACAAACAAATCTTTGGTCATTTACCAAACCCATCTGGACAAATAAACTGGGATAGTCTGGCTTTCTCGCTTTCTCTGTTCTTCCTTCTTTCCTTCTTTTCTTTTTTCCTCCCTCCCTCTTTCTCTTCCTTCCTTCCATAAATATTTATTCAGTACCAAGTACTTGCTGGCACTATACTAAAAAGAACATAATATATAAAACATAGAACATAAAAATGAATGATATATTATATAATCCCTTTCCAACACCAGCTTATATTTTAAGAAAAGGGAAGAAGAAAAGTTGAAAATCTCTTATGGTAGGCAGACTGTGGTGAGTAACAAAAAAGAAGAATGAAACAGTGTGGTTTTGTGAGGAAGGCGTATGCACTGGCTTCGTGGTGGAGTGCGCAGAGCTGGACCTCAAAGGAAGGATGGGGCTTTAGAGGTCCTGGTGTCCATGACAGGACCTCAAAGGAAGGATGGGGCTTTAGAAGTCCTGGTGTCCATGACAGGAGCAGTGCCAGCTATGGTTCCCTGCTGTAAACTCTGATGCTTCATTCCTGAGGACTAGGAGACACTGCATTTCTGCTATCATTGGGTAATGACCTCCATTTTTGACTAAATATATAATAAAAGAGACTTTCGCTCAAGTACATGTTTTTTTGTTAATACTTAGTTGTGATCCCTGAAACTCGACAAGTCAGCAAGTGTTTACTGAGGCCCACTGTTGACCCAGATCTTACTCTAAGCCCATCCCCCTGCCAAAGGTTCTACTTGTCACCCTCCTGACCG